AAAGGCTAAGGGCTTATCCTTTCTTTTAAAAGCTAGGGGCCTATCTTTCCGTTTAAAGGCTAGGGACTTATTCTTTCGTTTAAAGGCTAGGGGCTTATCCGTACTACTAGCGGAGCCGCGAGGCTCCGCCGGAAGACGTATTAATAATACGCTGTCCTTATTCGTTTAAAGACTATCGTTTAGCTTTCGTATATTACTAACGGAGTTTGAAGGGCTCCGCTTAAAGACGCGCGAAGGCGCGCCCTTCCGTTTATTATTAGCGCCGCTAGCGCCCTTATCGAAGTATTATTATCTTAGCTTAACCTATCGTTTCGTCGCTATTCTAACGCCGTTCCTTCCTTATATTACGCCTCGGGCGTTCTTAACTCTTTATAAGCGCTATACTTTAGCGCTTTACCATCTTTTTCTGGGAAAAGTTTTTCCGCTTTTTTTAGCCGTCGATTTCGTCGTTCTTTATCTCGAAATTACCGTCTAAACTATGTTTTTTCGGGTCGTCAGTCGTTTCTTCGGGTTATTTTATATCGGTCCTCGTTCGTAGGTTACTATCGACGCGTATATCTAAAAGCTAATACCGCTTTTCCGCCTACTAACTTTATCGTTTAATATCACTTTTCCTACTACTAATCCCGTTCGTTAAGATATTAATTTACTACTATCGTCGGTTCTCTTCGTAAGTACTACCGACGCGTATATCTAAAACTAATACCGCCTTTCCGATTACTAACTTAGCGCCGCCTCTCTAGAGGCTATATCGCCGTTCCTATTACTAATTCCGCTCGCTAAGCTATTATTAAACCTTTACCTTTCGTCGGTCCTCTTCATAGGTATTATTAACGCGTATATCTAAAGCTAATACCGCCTTTCTAACTACTAACTTTACTAGCTACCGCTTCCTTAGGTATTATATCGCCGTTCCTATTATTAATTCCGCTCGCTTCAATACTAATCCGTAAAACGATAAAAGAAGGTTAGTCTAGCTTTTTATTACAGTTTTAAGAGCTATTCGCTAGGTAAAAGCCATATATTAATAAATTAAAGCTAAACGAGGAGAAAAAGTGAAAAAGTATGCCCTATAGGCCGTACTTATAATAGCTGGCCTTATCCTCTATAGGTACTGGTTACGTGGTATGCCCTGGCACTAGCTAGGGCCCTATAATGGGCATAGCTTATTATAGTAGCGGGTTATATAGGCTATCGTAATTTATACTAAGGCGTTTATACGTCCTTTATATAGCAGATAAATAGCTATAAGAAGGCTGCCCTAATTACTATAAGCGTTATTTACTCGCGCGAAATATACTATATTATTAACGGTTCAGGCAAGCGGTTAATATCGAGGGCTAGATGCTATCCTTAGTAGCGGTAGTATTACGACGAAAGTTTCTTAGGCTTTACGAGTACCTCTATATAGTAAATAAATAGCTATACGAAGGTTATCCTAATCGGTATAAACGCGGTTTAGTCGTCGTATTATATCGTAATATCGATAGCGTAAAGGCGTTATCGGCGTTTAAGTATTAGGTAGTATCCTAGCGGTAGTAGTATCGTTATAAAAGTTCCCGGGCTTATACGTATCTCCCTATAGTAAATAAATAACCATAAAGCGGGATACTTTATTTAACGTAAAACGCGGACTACTTCGCGGGTTATATAGCGGCGCCGATAGCTATCGGTATCCTTTAAATCTTAGTAGCGTAATAAAAACTCCGTAAACTAAAGGTTAAGGGATCGAAAAGTTATAAGGTAGTTACTACTAAGTAGGAGTAAAACGTACGCGATATTAAAGTCCCGGATAGGTTTACTCGAAAGTATACTTTATCGAAGACTATAGCTCGTACGATAAACTAAGATAAATAAAACTAATATTACTATATTAATCGAAAGACGAGGAATCTAATGTAGTTATTATATCTTATCTATACTCCTTAGTCGTAGAGATATAGTAGTCGCTAGCCCGAAGGTATAAGAGGTAAGAGGAGAAAAGGAACTAAACGTAAAAGTTACTTATTCGGCTATAGCGGTACGACGAAGCAACTTAAGCGCTTATAACTAAGATAGATATACTAATCGGAAAATAACGAATCTAATAATAAAAACGAATCTTTAATTAAAGTAAAAATAATAAAGATAGTAATCTACCTAAGTAATAAACTAAATAATAAGTATGGCATAGCCCGTACTTACGGAAGCTATAATTACTCTATGTTGGCATAAGGCCTATCGTAAGGTATCACGTAATGTATCAAGAGGGCATGTCTTACCGCACCACTAGCATACTTATTAATATTATTAAGTAATAATATTTATTTTAACATATTAAGGAATTGTTTATAATTATATAACCTATACTTTACTTAGTTCTTGATTTTAAATTTTAAGGTACTTATCAAAAGTAAATTATATATTTAAAATTGATAATTAAAGAATTAAAGAATAACTATCAAGTTATGGAAATAATTCTAATCTTATATAGTAATCTATAGCTATAATATAAAGATATCTTTTTAATAGACGGCTATCTCTAAGGTGAGCGATTACTACCCTATAAATAACCGTCGCCTTCCTTTCTTAGCATCGTTTAACGGGCGACGTTCTTAGTATTTCTTAACGTCGCCCATATAATTAAAGATTAAAGTCCTCTTATTCTTTAGGTATTTTCGTCCTTTCTCTTTTCTATCTTCTAACCCGTATCTATTAGTACTCCCTCTAACCGTAGTTCCTAACATACTTATTATAAGACCTTAATTAATATTAAAGTATGATACGTAATTAGCTCCTTAGTATAAGGCTAGTTATTAGAAGTACGCCTTATAGGCTATGCTCTTCCTCCTTTTTCTTTTATTTAACTTTCAATTGTTAATATACGGCTTTTACCTAGCGAATAGCTTTTAAAATCGTAATACCTTTTTTCTTATTACTCTCTCTTTCGTTACTCGTAAGATAGCTCTTTACGCGCCTTCTCGCACTAAACGTAGCTTCTTAGATCTACGTAATATAATTATAAATATCATTTAAAGCTGGAATATAACCATAAATAAATATTATTAAAATTATACTTATAACTATTAATATATAGTATTAATTATAAACTATATACATTTTTATATTTATATTATACTTATTTCATATTACTCTCTACAATAACTTCGTCCTTCCTGTCATTAAATGCGCGGACCTATATTACTAGTTTTGTTAAAGCCCCTTTCTACCCTCCCACGCCGCTACATATTAGGTAGTTAATAACACCCCCCGATCTCCCCCTTTTCACCTATCTAGAGTTGAAGAGCGGGATCGTAGCACAACCCGGGGTATGGATCGTAGTACGGAGTACACTAGTCGGTCTTTCTCTACATCACACGCGTACATGGACTCGTATATCCATGCATTGATGCCTCACCCGTACCCGTACACTGCGGCGTGGCTCTAGCGGGACACTGAGACAGACACAAAAGGTTTATGAATGAGCAGAGAGAGAGATCTTTGTGTACCCCGTCTGCAGCTCGTAAGGTGGAGAGGCTAGAATGCTACGAACTGTTCAGTTTTATAGGCTGTGTTTGTAGATAGGAGAGCGCCGGTGCTGTTCGTCGTCGGGTAGGCAGATGCCAGCAAAAACAGGCCAGGCTTATTATCATCGGGTCTCTATATTCGCATGTACCTACCTAAGGAGTCGGTCTAAAATAAATGACTATGAGGCGTAGGCGCGTTTGTATGACCCCCCCTCGGAGTGGGTGGATGCTTCGTTTGACCTTGTTTAGGGTGAAGGGAACCTTCGGGTTATTTTGCTTTTGTTGGTTAGAGGCAATCGATCTTATTACTAGCCATGGGCCGCGTCGAGAAAGGAGGGGGGGGTCTGAAAGGCCGGAAGGAGAAGCGAGAGGCGGGAAGGGGGAGAATGGGGGCAGTCTACCTACGTCTCCATTGTACACCATTCTCTTGACGACTTCTTGATTTCGTGTCAACTGCTAGGTTATACCTGGCTGGCCGGCCTACCAAGGACTGTTGTGGATGATGCGATGGCAATTCGCGACCCGCCGTTCGTTACGCCATCTCAGCTCCCCATCCACTTCGCATGTTGTATCCACCCGTCCCGTCCGCCCATTGACCGGGTCATCGTATTGTCTGCATCTGTAACCGTGTACCTATCTAGTCTTAGGGTGTGGGTGTTGGCCTTTCCAGGCTGGAGTCACGTAGGTGAGTGAGTACTTAACGTCCGGGGTGGCCACGTTAAGGAGAGAGAGGTGAACAGGAGGAGGTAGGTTGGGTAGGCAGTGGAGTCCTGTCGTTCAACCAAAGTATACATGCCAGTGATTATCTCGGCATCCTAGCATGAATCTCCCAAAGCTTGCGTTATAACAATCCCCCTTCTGTTTCCGATCTCACTCGGCTATCCGCGTACTCGATTCTCTATTCTATACCTACTATATATACGCTTGTAATCTCTAGATCTAACCTGGAACAATATCCAAAGCTCTTATATTATCTACACTCAACCTACATCGTCTACCAACGCTTGCTTGAACGTTGATCGGGCCATTCCCAGGTCCTAGGTCGATATATTCAGCTACTCAACCCATTGGGTCCACCTTACAACCAGCCGCCATACATCCTATTAGATCTTGCTACCTCCTTAGGTGATATATAGTTCACCCCACGGCCGGGCCAAACCGCCGCTATATAATAACAACCTACGCTGCGACATCAACACAACCACAAAACCACCACCAACTTGGCGTACCCTTGTTTCTACCACCTTCTTGCTACTACCACCAAGGTTGGCCCAGCCTTGCTCGACGCGGTACACTGGCGAGATATCTAGGCCGTCACCCATCTGCCTACCACGTATCTACCTACTCACCTACTGGTACGCGCGTACACACCTGCCTGCGCGGCCATATCTATCCTATCTACAAGGGTAAAGCCGTCCACAAGCCTGGACAGACCGGTTGCTCCCCGGCGGCCGCACTCGTTTGTGGGGCTATATAAATATATTGCTTCGAAGCATGTCGAAACAACGGAGGGGCCCCTGGTCCCAGCGTGAAGACGATGTACTCCTCCGACTCGTCCACATGCAAGGCGCACTGAATTGGGTGGGTATATCGCAGCAGCTGCAATCACGGTCGGCCAAGCAATGCAGAGAGCGATACCACCAGAATCTGAAGCCCACTTTGAACCACGAGCCCATCTCCCCGGAGGAAGGGGCCCTAATTGAGAGGCTAGTGGGTGAGCTGGGAAAACGCTGGGCGGAGATCGCGAGGAGGTTGGATAACAGGAGTGACAATGCCGTCAAGAATTGGTGGAACGGCAGTATGAACCGCCGGAAGCGTCTAACGCGCAGGAATCTCACAGGCCTCGGTGGGCAGGCAGATTCTCAGGTCCGCCGCTGCTCACGATCCTCGGACGAGTCGGATCTCCGTGTCTTGTCACCGTTCCTATCACACTGTCACGGCTTTGCCCCCCCTCAGGCCTCTTACCACCACACCAACCCCCGGTCGTGGAACTACCGCACGGGGCTTCCGTCGCCCTCCTTGAATTCGTCCTGCGTCGAGTCCTCGGCCACATACCCCCCGTCGAGATCGCATTCGATGGCGTCTCGTCAGGTTCCTTATCCCGGGAGAGCCCTGCCTAGGCCTCCTTCCGCCCTGCCTGCGTTGCGAATCGGCGATGAGGATCCGTCGATACGCCCGATACGACATCCTACCCTTGGCCTTATGCCATTTCCTGCCGCCATTAGAAGCGTTGACTTGCGACTGCCCCCGATTGCTAAATTTGCTGGCAATGGCCATCAATTACCTACCGCGCCAAGCTCGCCGCAGGATCACCGGCCCAAACTCCGGCCGCAATCGGCAGTGGTAGATAGAGCGTCCCCTAGCCCGCGAAGCGGCCAGGCCTCACTTGGGAAAATGAGCATGCGGAATCTTGTAACGTGACAGGAGCAGCTTTAGGTGCCGGGGCAGCGTCTGAGGGCTCCCCTCCCCATGCGTACATGGGTCAGATCGGGATGCTGAGTAGATACGTTACCCGGTAGCATTGTTAGGGAGAAAGATGAGGTTGGGATGTAGGTATTTGGCTGGCGGTGAGGACGGCGGCGGCGGAGGAGGAGGAGGAGGAGGAGGAGGAATGTGACTAAGGATGGAATGATGGCGGGATGGCGCCCTAGGAGCAACGAGGGCCATCGTGGTGATCACCGCTTGTAAAGGTAGGAGGCACGACGGGAAAGGAAGAGTCTGTAGCTGATTCCGGCCTATGTCGATAGGTTCAGCAACATATCCTTCTTATATATAATAATATATATCCCATAACAGACAGCAGGTGGGTTGGAATAGCGAGTCTCTCCAGTCCCTATCTCCGTCTGATCGAAAAGACCGACCGCCCTACCCAGTAGATTGGAGGTGGATACTGAACCGATCGGTGTTTGTTACAACGAGGTAAACGAGGTACCCAAGAGAATCAACGGCAATACGTACTTATCTATAAAACCGGATGGTTAGAGGGACCTGATGTGCCCAGTGCATCTCGTACTGTTACTGGTTCTGTTAACTGATCGAGGTAGGTACATAACCTCTCCGTCTTGGTCTAGGTAGGTATAGGCAGAGGTACTTGATGGCTTGGCCTATGTAGTAGGAGAGGAGCCGGTTTCCTAACCCCCATGTAGAATATATTTGGATTTTTAAGGCGGATAGAGAGGGGGACAGAGGGGAGCAGGGGAAGAGAATAACCACGCCCCCCCTTCCCCCTCCCCCTCCCCCTTACCACTGCACTTACGACGCCTACTACCTCTACCATCTCTACTCCCTCTACGCCTCTACGTTTATATGTCCTTACGCCTGCCTGTATACCTACCTAGTTACGGCTATACCACGATCCGTGTCGTTGTCCCGGGCCCATCGTTGACGAAATAAGCAGCATGTGGGTCATGGGGGGGTGTAAAGGGGGGCTGGAGGGGCGTGTGGCTCCGCGCGGGGCAGCATAGGCCGCGTTCCGACGCCTAGTTTCAGTGGATCGATAGGTTCGGAACGGGTGCGGTACCTCAGGCAAAGCTGACGCCGTGTACTCCCAAGCAAAAAGCGGTCAAGAACAGCAAGGAGGCCTGAAGCCGGCGGGTAGCTATGGGGGATATAATGAGGCCATTCTCGTCAGTCAGTCCGGGTAGACCAGCCGTCGTCATGGTGGTGGGAATGACAAGAGAGTCTGATCTGCATACAGATCGGTCATGGATCTGGGGATCGACGGATGGCAACATAACGTTGCCGCCCAAGTCCGAGCGAATGGGGATCCAACCAAAGCCGACAAACACCCCCCTCCCTATCCAGCCTTTTCCTTGGCAGCTTGGCCCCGCTGACCTCTCCAACCACAAATCGTCCCTCGTCTCGTAGATCTTGACAGTCTGGCGACATCCTGTTGCTGTTGCAACTCCAGGTTCCAGCCACTTTGCTCTATTATGCCCCCCCTAGAGTCCTGCGAGACGCCTCCATGTAATATTGTGCGCCCGTCTGTCGGAACAGAGTCGTCTTGCCTCTCTGTCCTACGCCGTCCTGCATTGCATAGGTATGTCATACGTTGGGGGGGTGCGCAAATCAGCCTGCAAAACTACCTACCTACGTGCGAGATCTGACCTGGACCCATCCAAGACCACACAACCGCCCGCTCGGAGTCGACGGGCACCCTCAAAGTCCTTGCATACCCAACCCCAAAACCGTACGCTCATTCATATCCATACGTTCAGTACCTCTAAACGTACATTATGTAAAGGCCTTCGCGGACGTCATCTCATACGCTGGTTACTTCCTAGTGAGTGCATACTAATTACTTACTTTATAAAGGAGTAAAAATAAATAAAATTTATATTATATAAATTTTATATAATCTTATAATAATAAACCTTTTAGAGTATTTATATTTAAAAATAATTATTTAATATTTAATATTTAAATTATATATATAAAATACTCTACTATGTACTTATTATAATTCTAATTATTTATAGTTAATTTTACTTTTTAATTTATTCTATTAACCTTTAATTAAACTAGTTAGCTGTTAATTAATTAAAGTCAATCGAGATTAGAATTAGGTTTAATAGGAACGAAAGCTACTATACTTATTATTAATAGAAGTTTAATTACTCTTTACAGAATAATTAAATTCAGGAGGCTATAGCAATACGATAGGACTAGGCTACGTAGCCATTTAAATATATATTTATATAGGTCTCGTACTTATCTTTTTATTAATTAAACTTAGACTTATAGATATTAGGATCTAGAACTATTTACTTGTTTTATTGTACCTTCGATAGCCATTATCCTCTTCTAGCTTTATCTATTCTAGCTACCGTTTTTAGCTAGCTGATTAACTAATCATAGCTATTTATAGTTGTAATCTGGTTTGATCAGTACTAGGCTAGTTATTGGAAGTTAGATACTCCTTATACGGGTTTTTATTATAGTGTACCCACGCTGCTTCTATTTAATATATATATTTACCGCCGCCTTTAACTAGTAATAGCCCCCGAAATACGTATTGAATAAACCTGTGAAACTGCAAAATTGAAAGGAAAGCTCTATATAAACTATAACTATAATATCCGAAGAATAACTTCAATATTAAAAGAAAGCGGTAAACTCAAAGTTAGTAACTTTTAGCGTTTTAGGTAAGATCGGGGTAGCCCGAGGTGGTTATAGCCCGTGGTCACGTGACAGATGGTAAAGGTAAAAATAGTAATATATAAGCTTTATAAATCGCTAGCGACGCTTTCTTTAAAAACGATTTAGGAACTGAAAGATCGTTATAATACTATATTATATTGCTCTTTAGAAGACCGATAGTATAGAAGGTAGCTCGTTAAATTATAATCTCAACTTTAATAACGAAAGCTAAGCTCTTAGGTTTAGAATATATAGAAAAGGAATGTTAGGAACTGAGGTTAGAGAGAGTACTAACAAGTATAGGTAAGAAGATATAAGAGGAGGAAAGGTAAAAATACTACAGGAATAGGATTATTTTAGTTCTTCTTATACGGGCGGCGCTAAAAAAAGCTAAGATCGTCACACACGGGCGACGCTAAGGAAAAGAAAATACAACCGCCTGCAGGCAGTACTAAGAAAAGAAAATATTAACTACCTGTTAAAAAGATACCTTAATATTTTAATTACTAATAACTATATAAAATGAAAGATATTTCTATAGTTTAATAATTATTTTCTTAGTTTCTTCGTTATTAAATTTAAAGATATAATTTATTCTTAAGAAGTACTTTAAATCACGAAAATAAAAGGTACGTAAAGTATTAATCGTTTAATTAATGATCGATTCCTTAATATATTAAAATAAATATTATTACTATTAAGGAGGAGCTAAGCGCACGCGATGCTGAAGTCCCGGATAGGTTCACTCGAAAGTACACTCTATTGAAGACTATAATACGTACGATAGTCCAAGATAGATAAAACTAGTATTATTATATTAATCGAGAGACGAGGAATCTACTGTAGTTATTATATCTTAGCTATGCCCCTTAGTCGTAAAGATATAATAGTCGCTAGCCCGAAGGTATAAGAGGTAAGGGGAGAAAAGGAGTAAAACGTAAAAGTCACTTATTCGGATATAACGGTACGATAAAATAACTTAAGCGCCTATAACTAAAATAAATATACTAATCGGAGAACACCGAATCTAATAATAAAAACGAATCTTTAATTAAGGCAAAAATAATAAAGATAATAATCTAACTAGGTAGTAAATTTAATAATAAGCATAGTATGGCCTATACTTACAGGAGCTATGGCTACTCTATATAAGTATATGGCCTTTTATAGCGTATTACGTAATATATTAAAAGGGTATGTCCTACCGTATTACTATAGCTTCTTTAGTTTAATTATACCGTAAGGAATAATTAAACTAAAAAGGATAGTACAGTATATTCTGATTAATATCTCCCTTTAAAAACTATCGTAAAACTTTATTCTACTAGTTATTATTTAATTATAAGGGCCGCGCTTTTAGCTTATCGTTTAATATAGCGAAGGAATCCTTTTATTACTTTATAATTAACTTAGCTCGGTTTATCTTTACCTATCTAACCCGATCGGCGTATTCCTTTTTTATTTCGGCTACCTTTTTCTTAATTTCGGCTTACCCCTTCTAATTAAGAAAATAGTAAGGGAACGGACGCGCTCCGAGGGTTAATTAAGTATCTTTTCTTTATCTATATAGTATAGAAGTTTTCCTGGTTTAGAAAGCCTTAATCTTAATTAGGCTAGAGGGAGGAAAGGAACGGCTCGTAACCTCTACGAGGTCGTCGTAGCGGAGGTCTACGTCCGTTAATACGAGGAAACGGAAGGGATTAGATACTAAGGCTACGGAGGAACGGCGGACCTTAGCTTATACGATAAACCGGACAGAGGATTTACAGCTAAGAGGCTTACCGATCGGCGTACTTTAAACGGAAGCTATAGCGTTAATAAGGTCGATTCGCCATTAATAATTTACGGCTTACCGGAAACGCTTAACGATACTAACCTTTTCTTTTAAAACCCGAATGCTATAAAATTACTTTACTATCTCCGCGTATTTTCTTATTATATTAAGGGGATTAAGCCCTTTATATTCTTAGGCTTATCGGGGGACTTCGATTGGTTATTTAAAGATAAGGTACAGTAGGATATTCCTTTAAAAACCGTAACTATAATTATCTTATTAATTTACTAGCGCGACGTAATAAGCGGATTAAGGAGCTATCGTAGGTTCGACTCAAGACTACCGTTTTCCTAAGTTCGCCGTAATTAGCCGAACGCGTAGGCCGCCTAATCGAAGGCGCCGTTCTTACTTATATTAAAGCTAAATAATTTCCAGAACTTAAAAAGGTATAGCGTTACGGCGAAGTAAGTCTAGGAGAACTTATTAAGGTTAGCGATATTTTATTCGGGGTTTACTAAATCCGTATAGGTCGTAAAAACTAAAGTAAACGTAAGGTTATTAAGGAGGTATTAACGAGTTAAGAAGTTAAACGATCCTACCGATCGGTACCTTATCGTTTAGTACGGGTTTACTTCGAACGCCGCTTTTCTATCTTCGAAGTCGTAACATATTATAATATAGAAGGTACGGATATCCTCGTTAATAAGGTAGGGGTAACAGGCGAGGCATACGAGAAAGTTAGTTAAGGCTGCCTTTATTTATTCCTATAATTACTAGTTTATAATTCAGGACTAATTAACGGATAGCCGGAAGGCCTAAGCTATATCGGATCTTAACTCGATCTAGCCCTTTCCCGAATCGTAATTATCTAAAGTATTAAGCTAATACTTCTTTATATTCCTTT